GATGCTGAAATCATACTGTTAATACACAGTAAGCAATTGCAATTGATTTACTTAAAGACCTAATCTTGTGTATAAATTTATATTTACATGTCTATTACACATTAGTTAGGTTAGCTTGTTGCCGTTCTTAATAGTAAATAGGGAATAGGCAGTATCTTATAACTAAATTCATTAAAGTATGCAAACTGTTTATCGCCCCTATCTCGAGCACTTTTTTAAAGTTACAGTATATAATAACAAGAAAACTATATAATATAAATATGATAAATATCCGCATATAATAACAGGCCTACCAGTTGGGGAGAGAGCTTCGTTGTTATGGTATTGCCTCGGCACAATTCCAGTCTACACTTGCGTATCAGAACGTCACACTCTTTTGGAAATTTAAGGATTCCTCTTCAATACTACAGCCTGTAAACATTTTTTTTTAAATGGCAAAAACGCTATGAGCGTCATATTATTGGCGAGTACCGGCGCTTTACAAATGACCATTATTATTATTATTCTACACAATGTCTAGACACCCGTTGGAGACAACATGTACAATACAAACACCAATTTGATATATCAATCTATTCCAATTTCTATTTCATTATTTTTTCTAATCATTCTGTCACACCAACAAAATATAGTCCTGGTGCGAGATTGTACTGTATTGTCATTTTATTTTAATATATTTTGTTTTGTATACTGCATTAATACAAACGCCCACTAATTAAGCTTTGTACGGCCTAATATAGAGTTCTTCTCTTTCTTAAACTGTTTCTATGTTATCATGACAAACTTAAGCTATGACAATCCTTTACCTAAATTTCCTGTATTCCATATTACACGCACCCCTATACGTACAGTTTGTACGATAATTTTGGGCACATTATGCCTACATCCACTCTATAATTATCAGAAATCATCGTGAATAAAAATGATATAATGAAATGTACTACCCATCATTATTTGAAACTAAGTGTAAGGACGACCTTAAGTTAGGAATAAAATATATAGAACAAAATAGTTATCTTACCCGTGTCTATATGCGCTACCATCTATTTCACGAGGGCTTCCGTAGAACACTTCTCTCTGTTCTTTTCGAATGCCATTGCGCTGGATATTCTCCGCAATATCTAGCCTACGTATTCTTAGTTTTTTTGTTTTCTTTCTTTCCAACAATGTGCCACCTTGGTGGTTTATCTTTCTGGTTCCAATGGTTCAAAGCAGAGTTTCATATTTCTTTTGTATTAAAAAAAGGAAAAAATGCAAATTTGATTTGAGTTGATGTACTATTTTATACAAAAAAAAAAAAAAACCTATTTGAAGTAACTTACCGTATACATTTAAAAACCACAACCATTTACAACAACGACAAACATTTAAAAATGAGACTAGAGATATTTGTTAATACTTTATTATATTTGTTTTGTTAAATATATTTTTGTTATATTCTTTATTCTATTTTAACCTATAAATACTTCTCTTTTCATCTATAGGTATGGTTCAAGAACAGAAGAGCAAAATGGAGGAAAAGAGAACGAAATCAATTAAACGAATTAAAACAAGCGGGATTCGGATCTCAATTTCCTGGAGGCCTAGTTCAACCGTTTGATGATGGCGGACTTTACCCTAGTTACCCCTACAACAGCTGGACAAAAACTAGCAACCCACTTGGATCGAAGGGATTTCCCTGGTCTTTAAATTCTGTCAATCCGTTGACGGTGTCGAGTCAACCGATGTGTTTCACACCGCAGACGACGATGAGCACAAGCTTTTCGTCCGTGAATGGGGTAGCTGGCAGCAGTTTGAACAATTTGAATAACACAGGGAGTGCTGCTTGCCCTTACGCTTCGCCGGCAGCCCAGCCGTATGTATACAGAGAACCTTGTTCGAGCAGCATTGCTTCTTTACGATTGAAAGCGAAGCAGCATTCCACGTCAATGGGGAGTTTTAACTACCCGGTAGGCAGACAAAATTCATCGTTATCCGCGTGTCAATACGCCGGTCTCAACGGACCGGCATGAGTTCAAGACTGAATTTAAGATGGACTTTTTTTCGAAGATGATTCCCAGAGTAATTTGAAATATGGTGCCTGTACCTAAATAAGGTGTTTTCTGTTTCTCTAGCACTGTTTAACAACGCACGGCATTAGGCATTATATGAACAATACAGTTGGCGAACCTACACTCCTAATGAATGTTATCAATGTATATAATTATGACACATTTGGTGCGTCAGCAGAATAGAGCCATCTATTGACAAAAATGAACTTCCACTTAAATTTAATGTTCTCTTTTGAAATAGATATATTCAACATTTTTGTAAGAAATAACAAATCGTTCTTTAAGATGAAATGAATTTTTTTTTCTTGTTTGTGCAAATATGTTCTACAAAGTAAAACAAGGATTGTCGCATTGTTGATCAAACAGATGCTATATAGACCTAAACCACAGATCCTATATGGCCTAACAAACCGCGGATTGATGAGTTGTCTCTTAAAATTATAGTCGTGGCTTATTTTGAATTACAATGTCTGGGGATGCATTTGTCCAAAATGAAATTTGCATTCAACACAAACATATTTCTGTGATCGTTGTGTTGAATTAGTGTTTACCATGGATGTAATGTATTGCTATACCGAATGCTTAAGCCCTACCAACCCACCACCGCCTGTTATTCTGCGCCCCTTCCAGTAGGTTATAATAATAATAATAATAATAATAATAATAATAATAATATTGCTAATTTATATTATGCGCTGTATAGGTTGATTCACATCAATGCCTTGATGCTAAAAGCTATAAAATGTGTGAGCTATATAAACGCAAAAGTTACACTTCCTAAGTTAGATTTAACGTCTCATAACCAACTATGTCCACGGAATTCTTGCCAGTTATTATACACTCTACGCACGTTTAATTTTTAGCCTTTTATTCTACTGAAGCTCTTGTAGGAACGTTAAGAATACCCTGCGCAATAGAACGTAGATAATTTTAGTATGCAAATACTTTCAACTTGTTTCTAAATATTTCGAATTATTTGTAATTAAACCAAACTTGTTTACTTAATTGTGACTTTTCAATTCAACCGTATCGGTTCTTCTTCAGGCAACGTCTAGAATATTCTAATCGTGTTCATCATTTATTTGTAATAGGCTGACCAAATTCAAAATTGTCCCGTTATCTTTAAGTGTACGTATTCTTGCCAGTTATATGTAAAATGCACGGGTTTGTTGTGAATGAGCGTTAAGACTTGGGAAGCTGTAGGCCTAGGACGTACAGTTGATTTGATGCTCATGGGCAGGGAGACCGGCGAACAAACGAACTTACTGAATATATTAAGTTATTCGCTTCACATTGTAACGGTAGATTGTAAAACGGTCACTAAATAATACGATTATTATTGTTATAACAGCATTTTCATAACGGACAGTCCGTTTAGTCATATTTAATACAATACCTGTATAAAACTGTAGCATACAACAATACGACTGAATTTTATTATGGACGAATAATTATTGGACAATTGGACATGGTTAGCTGGGTATTTGCTGATTGGCATATTGTTGGACAGGTACAAGACATACTGACGTATATTTTACAATTAATGTATTCGGGGTATTCGCATCATATGTTATGTTATGATTTATATATTGACCAATAGCAAAAAAGTGTGAATGCTATTTGGGTTTGTGCGGTTTAAGTCACTGCGCAAAGATTAGCAAAGTGACCAATTAATTTAAAACAATGCAATACAATGGAAAACAATTATGGTTTCTTAAAACTATTATCCTCCTTAGCATCCATAAGAATTTGTACAAATTTGTGTAGGCCTATAACCATAAATTTAATGTTTATTAAACACATTTTCAATCCGTCAATTTTAAACTACATGTGAAGCATTGAAGGAATTATTTTGCTTTTAGTAGAGTCTATAGTGGTATTTCGCGTTTTAAAATGCGCGAAATAGCACTATGAATTTATAATACCTCAGATTTGATATTTTCTTCTTTGCACGTATTTGAATTATAATCAAATGTAAAACATACCCGTTTTGCAAAGTTTGTTTTTATTAAATGTTATAGGTCAAATTGGGAAAGTTAACAGTTTGTAAATAAATATTGTTGGGCAAATATATTAATTTGTTTTTATTTGTTTCATTTTCTTAATGTCACTGACTCGAAATTTTGCAATAGCAGTTGAAACTTTATCGGTACATATTATATCGTTTGATAAATAAAAACACAGAATAAGTGAAATATCATATAATCTGTATACCATCTTCTGGAATTAGTTTATTGTTACTAAGATGAAATTACGTCGTTTGCTTATTTTTCCCTACATCAATTATTGAGTTTAATTAACCGGTTAATGAACCGTGTAACACGAGTGGTATTACGCGAAATAGACCGTACAAAGCGCAACGCATACACGTACTGTTACAACCACAAAACGTCATCCAATTACATCATTTCATACGTCATAAATAATTCATATATGCGAAATGTGTTTATTTTTTACCTTACGTTTGTGACCAGAGTACTGAACTCCATTAATTTTATGCATAGTGTGAACGCAATTAAGCAACATCGTAATAGAGTGAATCAAGACATCTAATGTCTTGTTTTTACTCTTTAAATTTAGGATTTCAGAATGGACCAGTGTGTTTGGTTTACTCATAACAACCTTCTGCTCATTTAAAATGTCATCAATTAAAAATTATTTTGTCAAATTGATAATAAAAAATAGGTAAATAAACAGTAACATGTACTTTCCGGCTGATTTCCTAAAACCATTTTCAATACTCATAAATGAGGACCCATACCGGTAGTTTTTATTTTTTTAAAAGCAGATGAATCTACCAAAAAATTAACTTTGATTTGGTGTCGTGATCATAGGCTTTGTGGCATTTTATCTTATTAAAATTCAATCCATAATACTGTACAGCATACGGTTTAATTTTAAATAGGTCTTTAATTAACTATAAGCATTATATAATAGGCCTTAACAAGCACTCGTATCGACTACGAGAAACCAAATAAATTTAGTAATTATTCTAATCTTTATTAGAACATCATCGCAAATTCTTAATGTTAGATAATGTTTTAGAAGCGAGAACTTAATTAACTAATCATTGACAAGGACAATCACAATATTTGAATTTATTTTAACAATAGGATTGCAAAAGGTAAACATTTGGCCTAGAATAGACATAAACAAAAGACTAGGCCCATAATGTAAATATACATAGGCCTACACATAATGCTATTTCAAAATGGGAATAAATACGATGTCCAGAGGGTTATAGGCCTACTACGTTAGATTTGTACATAGGAATACCTTTCCTTACAGTCTACACTTTGAAAACAAAAAGATAACTACACGCCAATTAATGTTCTCAGTGGCATCCGAAAACCAAAAGAGAGTGATTTAGTTCACATTTTTGGAATCCTGTCCGACCAATTAAGTTATTTCTTCCCTTTCTCTATTATGTGTTTGTCAGTTTTTATTGTTTTTTGGACTAAATAAATAAAATGAAACTCATCAGTACAAGAGGTGGAAACTGTACGAATATATAAAGTTCACCAAAATAACAATAACTGTTTGGATTATTTACAGAAAAGGCTCTGTAAGGTACATAAGTGCTTGCTGAGAGAAATGCTTGTACTTTGCACCAGCATACCATGAACCAGTCCACCAAACCAACAGTGTAAGCTGTATTTAAGCATGCCTGGACGAGACCTCATGAAACTCTCGACCATGGAGTTAAGAACTCAAGTGAAAACTGCTTCGCCAAAGCTGTTCCCCCAAACATTTCGTAAAGGCGTTAAGTATGGTCTTTTAAGATTTTATACTACAGCTTATGTGGGAAGTCGAGCATTACTCAACCATATCAAAATAATTCTTCCTTAAACGCACGAATTATAAATTAATTATAGGACTAACACCTGACAGCAAACTAACAATTGACTACTTAACTATTAAAAAAAGTCTGTGTTAATTTTGCGGGGTTTAGTGGTGTGTTACAGGGACTAACAAGGGTTTTATCGCTATTACATATTAGCTAGAATAATGAATAAATGCTCTCATTGAAGTCATCATCGGAAACATCGTGAAACGTATCGACTAGTAGCAGTTACAAAGCTAAATATGAGATCGTCTCTACATTAAAAACGGATTACTTCAAAGGTCTTTCTATACACAAAAGATCATTACTAGATTAAGACTTTAAGCAGCTCTTCGTTGCTGACTTAATTGGGTATTATGTGAAAGTATCGAACATGAAGATAGACTAAATTAATCTGTAGCGGTAGGAATTCCCATTTGATAGAGGTAATCACCAGGGAATATTTGCCATGGAGTTTCCACTCTAAATTCATGAATACTTTCAGAGAAACGCGAATGCTCGTATTCGTAATATCAACATTCGATGAAAGATTATGCGCCTCGATTGACAAGCATTTTGGTTTCTTTTTTCTCTCAACCGTTCCAAAGATATCTACACAGTCAAGGTTCTTTATTTCTTTTCGCTTAGCCTCCCTCGTCTCTTGGGCTTAGTGGATAATTGCTTCGGTAGGATTAATTTACCTAATTTACAAAACAAGCCAGAATTCTAACTTTCACGCTTGTGTTGATGAAACATTTTGCTCACTAATTGATCATTTTACAATTAAACAATTTCACATTACATGTATGGATCCGATTCATGCATTTTACATCAAAAGAATTATTGTAAACACGTTTTATGGTTGAATGACTTGGATGATAACAAACTTGTTGAAAATTGGGATAACTGATAATTTGTTGGCCTATAATATTTACATATATATTTACTGTACTCGATAAAAAAAAATACCTTTCACATCTCAATATTGTCTTAATACAATTGCGTAGAGCTTAGATAAAAGATTAGTTTAAAATACCGTATCGATAAGCATATTCTTAATTGTCCATCTTTGATTTTTTTTCTCTAATCAATTAGTTTTGATTACATACTTAAGAATGTAAATGAAAGAAAGCAAAATGACATGATATAATTTAGAACGAATTTATCTTGCATAACAATCATGTTTTCTAAAAAAACAAAAAGTTTCGCTTCACGTTATATATTGACCGTAGGCCTACTTGACATAGGCCTATATATATTTTTTTCTCCTCAAAAAGGTGAGTATATGTTGACACACGGATGATGTGTCAGCACTAAGGCCCATGTTATCTAGCTGTTCCCACTTGATGGCCTGTTTGATTTTAAATGTGATCCTCCCAAAAAAGGTTCAATTTATGACTCAGGTAAAAACGTGACCTAACGCGTAAAAGTAACGGAAAAGTAAATGGCCTTCGCTTGGAGAGGATAGATCGACTAGCAACGTCTTAACTTCGAGAACAAATCCAGAAATTCGAGTTCGCTGGGTGTCAATCATTTGTACACATTTTCAAACACGGGCCATAGCCTAAACGAAAGCTACAACTCAAATATTCATACTAGGGTCAAGATAATAAACTATAAACCCAATCCCTCGACGGGCTCTTTAGCTATATTTGTTTCATAGATCCGAAGAAGTCCTAACCCGAAGTAGGTTTGATTGCCTGTCAGATCAACTTGACAGTTAAAAATTATCCAGTATTAATACTTGAGGTTGAATCTTATTTAAAACGGAAATAAATTCTTCGTATATTGATAGTATTAGTTACATGGTTACATACACAACATCTGTCAGTTTAACAAACCTTGTTTATAATTTAGAATTATTATCAACTCATTGTTCTTCGTCTTTTCCACTCACCAAGTGTGTGACCACCGACGGATGACGACTCGACTACGCACACTCGGCTGGATAAAACGCGGTGATCATTGGTCAATATTTGTTTCTTCATTTTATTAGACACATACCCTGAGGCGGTCAATATCTCATCTTGTTATCTAATTAGCATCCAGTAAATTAACATGATTTAAAAGGAAATTTGGATAAATGGAAACATGGCATACAAATTTGTTTCGTTGGATTATGAACAACACTATAGGACAATAAACGCGTTATTAGATTTAACAAAAACAAAAAATAATATCATAATAGCATAATCGTTGATGAAGCGCATGTGCTTTACAAGGACTGAACACTTGTTGATTCACGTATTAGTAACATGTCTTGTGCGTTGCAATGAGAATTTTATTTCCTTCGATCTATGGTATTGTCAATTGATCTAGTACACAGGTCAATTCGAAGAAAGACAACAATAAACGGTGGCGACAGCCATTCTGTAGGTAAACAAGCAATTTCGATTTGATATACGAACATTTGTTACATTTCTTTCTAATATGATATTCGTTTATTATAAATATAAGCTATCTTACCAAACAGATGAGTTATAGCCGTGACAACAAATTAAAATAATATTAATGAACACAGTAACTGTTTAATTTATTTATTATAATAAGAAATATAAGACAAGATAAAAACAGTTATCTCTGTCCAGGCAGCGAATAACTTGTTTGATTCCGCTGACAAATGACGGATGATGACCGGAGGAAACAGAACACCGCCAAGGGAAGTTTAGTTATCGACTAACTTGAAAATAGTAGGACGGAAACAGCTGCCAAGTTGCCGCCGGACATACAGTCTTGACTTGTATACCCAAAACATTGTATTTATATAGGCCTATGCTACTATGTATATTATGTTTATCATAGCATTACTTTAATTATTGATTTTATTTAACCGACGTGAAATTCGTTATCAATAAAATATAACACTAATCCGGCGGCGTAACTTTAATATTAGAGAATAATTTTATTATTTGGACTTCTATAAGTAAATATTGTTTACGCATATCAAATATTGACATACTGTAATAGAAACCAATCTCTGATTTGGATTGCTGTTATAAGGAGGCAAAAAATACTAAGGACAATCTCAGACAACCACTGTCGATAGGTCCCGTCAAGAAAGCTAACCCATTATGTAAGATAACGTCAATAAAAAATAGAGGAAGTGATATATTATAACTTTTGACTTTTTAGCCAGAGGCCAAGTTATAAAAATCAATAGTAACTTGCTAAACATGTGCATCGCTGCCTCTCTTTACAGACTATAAATAAAAAGAATAGATAGAGAAAACCAATGAAATGGTCACGCTGCTGCA